GAACTGTGACATTATTAGCGAACTCAGTTAGGTACACTCGTGCGTAATTTGCACATTTAATTATCGTACACAAATTGATACAAGGACATACGCGTAGTAATTAGATCGGTGCAAAAGCTTTGTCGCTTTTCTGTAAAGTCGAAGCTTTTTAGTGGAAAATCTTTTAATGCAAATTTTTGCATTATTTTAATATATAATCAGATTGGATCCGCAAATTTCTCAGATAATTTATTAGGATTGTTTTTATTGTCAATAAGATAACTGTAGGACATTTCGGAGCGTTTTACATCATACAAAGTTTTGATTTACAACTTGACAGATTGAAATGTACAACAGGCTTCAATTTGCAATACTGCGTCTGATCGAATTCGTTATATCTCACGCGCGAATCTTATCATTCGCGTAACGCCTCGATATCTCTATCGTCATACCAGCAGACATTTCTCGGAAGTGTACGTCTCACGGTTGTAACAAATATTTGCACGTAAGTGCGTACGGTGGCCGCTGCAGGGCGCCAGCATACGAAGCCACCCGCCAGAACAGCCGGGAACAGCAGTAGCTAGCGCGTAATCGCACGACGGTGGTCGGTGCGTGCTGGTGTCGTCGATTCCGGCCGACATCGGTTGATGCGGTCGCACGCAAACCGCGGGGTTTTTTCGGTTTCCAAAGGCGACACGCCTTTTATCTCACGAAACGCAAAAACGTGACACACTTGTTGCCTTTCATACATGACTGCGATCCCGAAAGCATACGTGTACACGCGTGGAATTTCACTTTCCCACGCGAAACGAATCGGCTGCCGAAAGACGGGAAAAGAAGTTGGCGCCGCTGTGCGTAATCGGAAATAAGTGTGCTGAAAGGTGTGTGCGCGTGTAGCGGTCGTCGCACGCGGGTCGTTGCACTTCTCTGAGAGCCCCGCGACCTTTGTACCTCGTCTATTTCTTCGAGCGCTCTCAACGTTTCAAACGATGTTATTCGATCATAACGGTGATTATGGTGAATGCGGGGTGCGAAGCGCGTGTCGTACGACCGGGCAGACGGAAAGTGCGTAGTGAAGGAGCTCCGGATTCGGGGCCCGGCCGGATTCGGTGACCGGGTGGGTTGGTTCAGCAGTCGACCTAGAATGATTTTCACCGGCAGATCGGTGGACGCTCTCGATGAGGTGCGCGGCGCCGGTGGTGCGGGCGATGTCCAGCCGGACGGTGGACGGCGGGACGTGAGCGCGGTCGCGATCGCGGCCGGATGGTTCTCCAGTTTACGGAGACCCGGCAGGAAGAACAAGAAAAACTATCAGAAGCAGGCTAAGAGCGCGTGGGACATCAGCGGCTTGTCCACCACGGTTAGTAACATATGAAACAAAAAATTTGCGATCCGATTTATAGGCCAAGTTCCTCGATAATTTGCATATGTGCGTCGAAATTACGCTGTCGGCGTGATTTCCAAATCGGCATTGTATAGCGACGAGGTGCCGCGATCCTCCAAGGCCGACACGTGCAAACTCGCCAGATTTATTTCTAGATATTGTCCGCAGCTTTTAACCGCGTTACGTCGTCAAACGACACGGAGATGTCGAATTGTTATTTGAATTGATTGAAATACATACGCGCAGTTTCGTGCGAAATGCGACACGCAT